CCCCCCCCCCCCCCCCCCAATGGAGAATGGCAACCAGATGGTGGGGGCGGCAGGGTTGGTTTAATTTTTTTATTATTATTGTTTTTACTTTTTTATCACTTTAATTTTTCTTAATTTTTTTACTTTTTTAAATTTGTATTTATCTTATTATCTTTTAATTTTGTAGAATTTTTCATCAAGGGGGCTAAGTGGCTCCAGGAAGCAATTACTTTTACCAGGAAAGAGCTGGCTTTTTAGTCCTTTCCAGGTTTTCTGGATTATAGTTGGGATCCTGGAGGCAGGAGATTTTGAAGATAATTGGGAGGGATGAAATCTCCATTGCTACTACTATGGGGATTAGTATCGTACTCGCCCAAATGCTCCCGATACCGGAACTTTCAGTATCAAGAAGCCGGGCAGTGAATCATTATCCCCCCCCTAGCTTCCTGATTGGCCAGGAAGCCAGCTCCATGGTGATGAGGGAGCATGGAGCCACCAGCTTCCCGGTCAATCAGGAAGTTTCGTTATCGGGATAAGTATCAGGAGCATTTGGGTGAGTACGAGTATCGGTATTGTTGCATCATATATATATAGTGTATATAGTATATATAAATTGAAACTTCCTGTTTTTTCTGTGGATTCTGCCACTGTTTCCTGTGAGTGCACAGGTCATAGTGTCTTTCCCATGGTGTGGTACACAGACGGATTGTAGCTTTTGTGTTCACAGTAAAGGATTCTACCACCAGGAATGAATGTAGAGTTAACACACATGTTCTTCCTTTTAGCTCTAACCCTATCTCCTCCAATGCTGACAGGTTCTCAGCGCACACATTTGATCACCAAGAGTAGCAAAACCTTGGCGACCCCCTCTACTCTCTGCACTACATTCTCCAACACTTTTCCCACCAGTGTCTGCAGTACATTGTTTGTCTGTTTTCCCTATCCTCGCCACTTCCCTCCTTGCAGTTTAAGCTACACTTCCTGACAGTCTCCCTATCCCCTGGTGTCTGCAGTAGATGGTCTGACAGTTTCCAACATCCCCTCCCTGCAGTTCACACTATGTTCTCTGACACTCCCCCAGTGTCTGCAGCACATTCTCTGGCAGTTTCCCCCTTCCCCTCCTTGTAGTTCATACTATCTTCTTTGGCAGCTCTCCCCTCATTAAATAGAGCAGCTTCTCTTACAAGTCCCCCCTTACTGTCTGCACCATACCCTGATTCCCACCGCTTTTGTGTTCCAGTGTCTCTGGCATTCTGTGCTCCCTATTCTACACAATGATATCCTTTTTGTTGTATTCAGACATTAACCTCACTGTATCCACGTAGCCACAGTGAAGTCAAAATTCCAAGCAATTAATAAATGCCACCTGACATGTCATAAATACCCAGGACTCTTCCATGTGATAAACCTTGCCTCATCCCAGTAATTCATACCCTTTGACTAAGTCCTTCGCCATGTTGAAGCTGTGTCATGGCTGTCTAAAACATCTGCACTGTGACTTCATAGATTAGAGGAAAGTGTATAAATTACCCAGGAGGAAGAAATGACAGTTCATACTTGACATCTACCCCATTATATAAGCATCTCCCTCGTTACCTTTTCTGCTCTTTATCCTCCAGTACATAACTATGTCTTCCTCTGTGTCTCTCTCAGTGGAACTTGATCAATTTCTAGTTCTTTCACCAACTCATAACAAAAATAATTTCTTCCTCCATCCCCTTTTTCCCTTGGCCTTGTTTCCCTTGTTTTTCTCTCCTCTGAGCTGCAATGATCTTCCCCTTTTACCTCTGCTCCCCATGTTCAGACCTACTTTACCTATGCCTCCAGTGGCCTATGATTAGATTATGCTCCCCTGTCCAGAATCAGATCCCACTGCCTTACTTCTCTTCCCCGAATTCATGATCATCTTCTCAGTGCCTTTACACTTTCCCAACTCCTTATCTCTTATCACCTCATGGTCTGCTTCCTTACTCTTTCCACTATCTGAAGCTTGTACTTCTCTTCCCTCAACCTCTATCGCCAGTGCATGTTCATCCGCCATTCTAACTTCTTTTTCTTCATTATGATATATGATCAGCTGCTTACATTCTTCTCTCAGTGATTATTATTATGATTATTATTATTATTATACAGGATTTATATAGTGCCAACAGCTTTACAATATAAGGAAGACATTACAATCACAATACAATTCAAGACAAGATGGTAAGGAAGGCTTACATTCTCAAAGTGATGTATGATCAAGGACCTCTCTCCTTCCTATATCTCCCTGCTCCATGTTTCATTTACACTGCCCCAATTATCTGTAGATATTGAATGGCAGGCTTATTCCTGCAGAGCTGCAGGGGCACATACACAAGTGATGTAGTAGCCAGTGGATGGAACCACAGCATTCAGTGGGAAATTGTAGGCATTTGACAAACCCTGAAGAATGGGATGCTAAGGATTCCAAAACATGTGTAGTTCTGCAGTTGGATTCACCAGCAATGGAAATGGTAAGTATAACTAATGTACTTTACAGGATGCTTTTTTTAATTTGTATTTTTTTTAGCTTTAGGTTAAACATTGCTCTTACTAAAAATACACAATACTTTTGTTTTAAATAAAACATTCTTATTTTTAACTCACTACCTGACAGGAGTTCAGAGAGTAAGGGTGGAGACTGTTTGCTCTTGGACTAAAGTTTGGACTTTTGTGTTTTATATTATGTGTGTATATGTGTATGTGTAATATTTATGGCTTTACGCTGCCATATATGTTCCTCGAACCTTCAAACCTTTGCTTGTGTTTCAGGATTTTTTCGGAGAAAGCTTAACATTTTTGACACTATTATAGATGAGCCTGTCGTGGAAGAGAGGCAGAATAAATGTATTGCGAAGAACAGAACACGTTTTGAAGTAAGGTAACCTTAAAAAATACATGTAAAATGACTAACAATATCTTCCAGTTATTGTGCTTAGATTAACGTCTGTATATACATTCACATGTCAAATAGTTCAAAATTCAAGAGTCTTTGAATATGCAATACATGCTGTGGCTATTAATGTCGTTTCAGTATTCCAGGTACAAAAACAATGACCAGTGATAAATAAATTAGGAGATATCGGTCTAAATAATTTACAAACTTGTTGGAAAACCATTCTCTGCCATGGCTGTGTGTCAGGCTAACTGACCTTATTAAAAGACTTAGGAGGTTGGAAGGGTGGGGTAAAACGGACTGTTACAGAAACAGTCAACATTTGCATAGAATTTTAGCTATCACTACAGCTACCGTACTGATTGTTTATACTTGTGTGTTTTTTTTATTGAAGGTAAACCCAGCTTATTGAAGGTGAACCCTCATATCCTTGGTTTTGAGTTGCACTTTTTTTTGTTTATATTTTTTTTATTCTGTTCACTACTTCGGAGGTAGCGAGCAGAATAACCGAGCCACTCGATGGCATTCGGCTATTCACTCACTGCTGTTCAGTCCCTATAAGAATAGGTGCGAACAGCAATGAATGAACGTTCAGCTCAGCTCAGCCGATCCAGATGTTGGATCGGCTGAGTCAAATGGGTTCTTCACTTTGGCTCAAGCATGCTCGGCTAATCTGAAGGGAGCCGAAGACGGCCGATGTACAGCTGAAAAAGCTTACTTCACTTTGGCTCGGTTATTCACTTGGCTGCCTTTGGCAGCTTAGCGATTAATCCCCATAATATCTCTCAGGAGCCAGCACCTGTTGATTTGTGATATCTTTGAAGGTAAGCACCTGGGTTTTTGGGGTTCTTTTGCTCAGAAGCATCACTCGATAATTATTTTCTTTAAGGTGAAAACTGGTTTTGCAATGACATGTACACAATTATATATATTTCTACAGTCTAGTCTAAAGGTCTGCTGTACTGCAAGTGTTTTTTTTTATTCTGTTCACTACTGGAGGTAGCGAGCAGAATAACCAAGCCGCTCGACAGCAATGTTCTCATCATTTGTGCTTATGGTCCCTTCTGACATCCAATACAATTTTAGTCAAAGGTGATATAAACTGAGGGGGAGTAGTGATATTGCAGGTAAGTATAACTTAATTTATAGAAGTATTTATTTGGTTCCCAAATGTAAATTATAAGTTGAGTACATTTCTCTTCTAATTTTAAAATATAAACATTTTCAGGAAAATATATTTTCTATTTTATGTTTCTTCAGGTCTGGGGTATTCTCCCAGAGTGAGGGAGATGTATAATTTCTGGTGTTATATCCTGACAGCAGAAATGAAAGGAAGTCCTTTTTATTTGTGTAAATATCGACTACTGAGGCCATTACTTTGGATGCTCACAGTCTACGTTGTCCCAGCTACATCCCTTCTACTATTAGCAAACCCATCAGGTGAGAGTTTTTTTATGCCATATATCTGTCTGTGATATTTCTGAAATTGCATTTTTAATGAAGATAACAGATATATCCACATACTTATTTTTATGAAGCAGTTTTTTTTAACTTTTAACAAAGTAAATAATAAAAAAATTCAAATACCCAATCATGTGAGGGAAGTTAGAAAGAAAAAAATAATTTTTGCTAGCATTTGACTTGTTTGTTTGTAGTGAACACAGCTTCATCTTATTTACTAAGCTAAGTAAACATTAATTTTGCTATGTAAGCCTCATTAAACGATACCTAGTAACAATATTGTTTTTCCAATGTATTTACCCTCATTCTTTTATATACCCTCATTTGTTTATGTATCAATGCGGTGTGTTTTTATTTGCACATAATGGTAAAAAAAACCCTTACAAAAGAGTGTTCCTAACTAATACCTTATTAACCCTCGGTTAACCGCTAATAAACTCTAATTAGCTCTCTCCTTCCATTCTCTCCATAAGAGTTATTTTTTAGCTGATAGTTTTGTTTAATTTTTTGAACTATTTATATGTAAACTTTTTAATTTGTGTTTTGTAGCGTTGCATTCAAAAAAACGTATCTATTTGTAAAAAAGTGTGAACGCCGAAGTGGTTAAATCTTTTTTTACAATAACCAAGGGTACCCATACCCATTGTGGGTATAGGAACCAAATGATAGAGGTATGAGACTGGAACTTGGAATAATATAAAATAAATATAAATAGGATTGAATCTAAAATTAAAGTGGAGAAATCACTTGATGTGTCAGATGACAGCGATTATAGCACCTCCTTACTCCTTGGCAGTGTGTGATAATCCCCATGTCACGCAGGAGGCTAGCATTTTCACATTTCAGGGTTGATCCTTGTCTTGCTGTGTGGAATAACACAAAGTTGGGTGCTAGCCACTTTATTTTGTATAGTTTATTTGCTCAGTAAACTTGTGCAGAGTGGGTTAGGGGGACAAAATACCCCAAAACAGCAAAATATCCCAGGCCTTCTCTTATATTAGCAACAGAATTGATAGTGTCCCTTTAGCAGGAGCTAGGCAGGATGCAGTAACTCTATAAGAGAAAGGCGTCACTGTCTATAGTAGCAATATTGTTAGTGGCTCTTATTTCTCAATTAACAGAGGTCATGGTGGCTCTAATGTTTCAGTAGCAGCCTCCCAGTTACAATAGAGCTATCACTGCTGGCCTTAATATCTTCAGTAGCAGCCTGCCAACTGCAATAGATTCTCTAAGAGAAACTATTACTGGTCCTAATATTTTAGTAGCAGCCTCCTAATAGGAATTGGTCATCTGATCCCTTTTGAGCACTCCCAGATACCTTAAAGAGCTGAGTAATGATGTCTCCATGTATTGTCCATCCGGCAGCAACTTCTCCTAAGCTCCCGTGGACATTCTTTAGCATAACAAACTCCACTAAAGATGCTCCAAACAGGCAGCAATCTTCCTAATTCTCCAGACCCTAAAACACGCCAGCTAAGATTCCTTGGGCTTTGGCTTAGGACGCTGGCTGGGGCCAGGCCCCAAGAAAGACCTCTTCACTGTGGCATCCTAACCAGGCCAAAGGCCAGGAGGAAAGGCAAACCTTCTAGAAGGTTGCTCCAAATAATTCTCTACCTTGAGCTCACAGCACTAGAATAAAGCCCTCAGTAATTGGCCAAGGCAAAAAATTATTCATGTGCCAGTACATTGTTACTTCTCACACTAACTACTGGAGATAATTCAACAGCACCAGTCAGAAATAATCAATGTCCTGAGCTTAGGGCAAAGCTCACAAACACAGATAATATAAACAGAGCTCAGGGTGGTTACAGCCTAGCAGCAAAGCACATTAAATCTACCTAGTAACACTACACAAGGCAGAGACCCGACATGAGTAACATTGTCAGTAACTGTACCCCAATGTGTTACCTAATCTGGTACCTAATAGGACTGGTGATGATAATGATGATGATTTCGACAGTCTGACTATGTGAATACAGGGACATTCCATTGGACAATCCATTGGGGATCTTTAACCCTTGTACTAAAGATTACTTCAGCAGCAATTCCAGAAATGTATATCTGCTCTATACAAAGGTTGCTTTCAAAACCTATTTTAGCCTATTGCATTAAGTAGTTTATGTTCCTATGCATTGCCTAAACCATTCATGACTTTAACATTTTTCTTTTCATCTTCTGCTTGTCATCATTTTCTATGTTTGGCAGTGTGTTCAGATCCTCTGCAATACTGCTGTAACTGACACTGCTAATGGCTTGTAATTTGGCAGTATAGAAACATTGTGCTATTTTTTCAGCGTATTTATTCATAACTATCCTAATTAAGCAGTCACACTCAGATTTTCTGGCCTGCTCTTAAAATGGGTGATGCATTAGCTTTTCTAGGGTCACCTAAAATGTAGCAGTGCTTATAAGTAAATCCATCCTAATGCTTTTAGACATTATTAGCGCATGAGCTACTGCAGTGTTCCTAAGATTTTGAGTTACTAACAGAATAGAGAATGTTCCACAATAAATTGTGTGACGATTCAGTTCAATTATCCAATCATGTGAAAAGCAGATCCCTGTTTGCTTATTTCACCTGCACCTGATTAGATAACTGAAATTAATATTGACACAATTTATTGTGTAAATGTTATCAACGTCTTTAGTACATCAGCCTCATGGAGTAATTTTGATAGCTAAGTCTTGCTGATTATAACAACAAAACAGCCATATGGTGGGAAAAAAGGACCAGGGCATACAGTTCAAGGTACTTGTATACAGGGTAAGTAAAAAAGATAAAGGAACAGTTGTTGATCTCCTTGCATAGTGAAGAAGTCAGGGAGCATATTTTTCTTTAAGTATGCATTTGCTTACCGCAAAAGAACACTAGCCACACCCTCCACATAACAAATACACCCCACATTGTGGACTTCAGACACAGATTTTCCCTTGGCCAATTTCCATGGCTTGCTCAGTCATGATAATGTTTGGGTCATTTATGGTGTTTCACTTCCCCACTGTCCCACGTATGCAATGGGATCTGCCATAGGAAAAATTAGAGTTCTTGGAGGTAGCTCATTCATCTCTATGGCAGACACTGCTGCATGAGTGGTACAAAAGGGAAAGCAAAGTGCAGTAAGATATGTACATATTGTCATGCGATTGAGCAGATAACAACAAAGGGTTCACACTGAATCCGTACTAGACTGGCACATGACATGTAACCCTTTACCTGTAATATTTGGGACCCTCTGGATAAGGCTCCAAATTATACCGTCATTTTTTTTTAACATTAAAGTCAATGGGATGCAAGACAACCAAGAATCTAGAATTTATGGAAGTAGATCAGCAGACCCTGCTTCCCTCATGACAGATTTTCTATAAAACTGTAGGAAAAATAGGTAAGGTGTAAAACAAATATTTTCTTTTCAGTGGAAATGGTATATAGATAGAAGACAAAAAAATTATTTTTAAAAACAAAGTATTGTAATGTTTGATAGATCAAATGAAACAACTTGTGCACCTTTCTGAATGTGACTAGTTTCAAACAAGTATAATGAGATAAGAAAGTGGAAACAATTTCCATTTTCTTTCTTACCCTTGGGAGCAATGAGATAACTGATTCCAATTTATGATAAGATCAGAGGGGTAGATGAAGGGTCATTGGAGAAGAAGGTTAAGGGAATGTCAAACATCAATCGCATACAATCTCCTCTTTAATTGTCCTCTAGCTACTGAGAGAAAAGAACGTATTTCCCTTTCCTCATCTAGTTTTATTCATCAGGAAAATTGCTGGACTTTTTCTTATGTCCCTCTTTTTCTGCTGTACTTTTAGAAATTGTGCTTATTGGGCAACAGTTGCCTGTGGTGATTGTATTCTTCCTGTCTGTCTCCAGTATGTTGGAACTTTTATTTATCAGGAAACATGCAGTGTAAATCTGTCTACATCCAATTTATTCTTTGTAAAGGGATTTTTATCATATCATTTTTGCTTTCAAGCAATATGAAAGTGGAAAAACATCCACATTGTTATATTGTATATACAGTATGAAGTCATTACTTGCATCCTGGGGAGCAAACTTTTATTTTTTTCCAGTGCCTTGGAAGCCAATTTGGTCAGCTTTCCTTTCTGTCTTTGTAGCATGATATGTTCTGATACTTAAAAGCCACTGCTTTTATCTGTATTTCATTAATTGTCTTTGCAATTTCACAACTGTAATAAAACTTGCATGTTGTTCCTCTTCACACACTGGTAAATCTCTTATCAAGCAGGAATAGTCTTTTAACAGCCATAATTTGTGTTATGTGAGGCTCAAGCTGTCAACCCATCACCAACACGTGTACATTCTGAGATTGGAGCCAAAGGGCTCATTTAGGATGAAGGATAACAAGAAAACCTGAATCACAAGGACTTTGTCTTTTAATATTGAAGAGTATTAATAGGAGATTTGATTAATCTATAGGTAAAGTAGAAAACCCCAAACCCCTTCATGTTTCAGGACGAGTATTTTTTTCAGAATTATTTTCTTATAAATACTGTATGATTCATCTGAATTGCATTGCATGGTAATCAACTTTATTAAAGTGTTTGCCAGGTGCCCCGTGGCATTTGCCTTATTATTTCAAAAATTGAAAAAAGTGGTTATATTTATTTCCTGTACTTTACAAAATGTACATTTTCTAGCCAATGCCATATGTTTTTCATTAATTAAAACTACCTCTTCAGATATGCCAGGAAGTGTCTACACCGAAAACACTACAGCAATCCTTGAAACAGTGTGTTCTAGACACAGTCATAAAGAATAATATATCTTCCTAATTACAGGACATGCAATCCATGATGACCATTGTTCTCTATGGTTGGGCTAGTACAAGTACAACATTCAACAGACTGCTGGAGCACCATAGGGCAAAAATTTAACTATAACCATAACAGCCCATGCAGATGCATGGGCTGACTTGAGGCCCTTGTTGGAGTCTGCAAAGGATCTGTAAAATAAAAAAAAAAACCCTACTGCTTTTCCTGCTTCTCAAAAAAATAAAAGAAGCTGGCTAAAATTAAAGGACTGCTTTCTGTGCATTGATCCACCCATCCAGGTCAGATGGCATGAGGTTAATACTTTCCTTGGACACGGAATGATTTGCATCCACACATGATGCAATGGGAGATATGCCCGAGAAGACAACAGAGCAGAGAAGAATACTGCTTTCCCAGTATGTGTGTATAATGTATGATGTTACCAGTGCTATTAAAACTTTTTTAAATCAATTACATTTTTATGGTGTAATTTTGAGAACAAGAGCAAACAAATGAGTGATATTTATCTAAGCAGTTTAAAATATATAGTTGCAAATTATTTCAGAAAGAAAATAACAGTATACCATACTAACAACATGTCCTTATTTTGTTTGTAGAAACAATATCTGTGATGAGAAGAGAAGAGGCAGGTGAGATTATATTACTACTAAAGGCTACGACTGAAGTTGACTGGAGTTGGGCTGCATTTTTACGGGGGTGTATGTTTAGGTGATATTAGAAATCTATCACATTTTGAAATTGAAAAATGACACCACATCCATACTGGTATTTAAGCAATTCTGGCTTTCACTAGAAGGTTTGGTGCAACCTTTAATATTTGAAAATTAGAATATTATTTTTTGCTGTTCAGGCTCAGTACTGCCAATTTGCATGATTCCTTGGGATTCACAAGTATAGACCCAAGGTTATAGACCCAAGACAAAAGCCACAGTATATCAGCCCACATCTAGAGTTATTACACAACTTTGCCCCTGTAGACCTGGCAAAGTTGGGTATTAAATAAAGATGTGGGCTGGTGTATTGTGGTTGTATATATGAATGTTATAGAGATCTGGGAGTGGGAGTGGTTGGGTAGTTTAGCACAAGACACTGGGAGGGTTGACACCACCCAGTCATATAAATGCCCCCAACAGGGCTTAAGGACTAAGTGCATTTCTGGCAGATTAACAGGTATTTTTCTGTACTTGAAGTTTCTTTAAAGGCATAAACCACAGGAATATGTGCAGTTATTGGAAAGGTGTACTGCATAAGTTTTTTTTATTTGTCTTAACATATGCTTAAAGTCTCTATAGAAAAAGCAGCCCTGGGCTTCTGTTATTGTACAAATTACAGCATCCTTAGCACTTCCTCAGATGGGAATTGATTTATACATTTTTAAAGTAAAATATGCCTCCTAAAGTTAACTGACTTACACTCGCTGCAGTAACGGTAAAACTGCTGTTAAACTGCATCAGATATTAGCAGATGTGTTAGATGTAAAAGGGATGATGATGATGGCAAAGTTAATTAAACCTAGGATCCTCTACGCTCCTGTTGTGATTCACCACGTTGCTGTCAGTTGTACTAACAAATGCACAGTTTGTCAGAGGCACTAAATCTGTCAGGTGTCAAAGTTTTAAAGATTTTTATTTTATCAGAAGATCGGAAAGAATTGATACACACTTTTAGAAGAACTCCATTATCGAAGCCCATATACAGTTTATCATTTAGACTGGAGTGTTTCAGTTTACTAGCTTCACTTTTACTTGGTCCCACATCCCGTCACTACTAAATTTACTTGCAAATTTGCATTACCAGAACTGGCCACAACTTTGGGTCAGAACTAGACCAAGACACATTGGGGGTTGATTTAATAAAGGAAAATAGGCTGCTAACCTTGCAAGGGAATTTTTACTATGCAAGAGAATGTTCCATAGCTTATGAATGAGGTAAAGCTCTGCTGACTTCTATCACCCAAAATGTGCTAGCAATTTTTAATTTTTCTTATTTTTCTTGCATGTGATTTGCTATTATTTGCAGCTAGGGGAAAATTCCCTTGCACAGTGAATAGCCTATTAGCTTTAGTAAATCAACCTCCTTGGATCTATTTCTACTGAGCTATGGATAGGCTTCACAAATTCAGTTTTGCAGTTCCATGCAGCAGGATCATGGTATCCTCATTTTTAAGTTGTCTGAATCATGTTTGGCTGATTCTAATTCCTTAGTAGCCACCAGATCCATTCATTTTGGTCAGATGCTCATTTGATATTTTTGTGTTATCTCTTTAAAGTGTAAATGGCATGCAGTTTATAGCTATATTTTTAGAAAAACAGAAGTTCAGATTAGCTTGATTGTGGAATATTTTTTAATGATTTACCTTAAAGATTACAGGAATAATACAAGCAAAATTGTAGGCAATGCTGCTGAAAAACAATGTATAAAAACAAATTGAAGTAGTGATGCAAAGCAAAATTGAAAGTTTTCATTGCTTTATTTTTCCTACAGAAATACGATTAGTGAATGGAGAGAGCCGCTGCCAGGGAAGAGTTGAAGTTCTATACAATGGGACTTGGGGAACAGTGTGTGATGACGATTGGGACATTGTAGATGCGAATGTGGTTTGCCGGCAGCTGGGTTGTGGCCATGCTATATCCGTACCAAATCGGCTCTTCTTTGGTCAAGGCACAGGACCAATTTATCTAGATAATGTGGACTGCAAAGGAAGAGAAACAGCACTAAGCCAGTGCAGGAGCCTTGGATGGGGAGTACATAATTGTTATCACTACGAAGATGTCGCAGTCACCTGTAATGGTAAAAAGGTTTGGTTCCAGTGTGTCATAGAAATTATTAAATGAATGGCTACTGTATATGTTGAATTATGGTGTTTGTAAATTATAAGACATAAATAATACCAATGTGTCTCAGTTTGTATGGGTTAACAAAGTTCTGCCCAAAGCAGTAGGTGGTTACCTATATAATGCATTTCCAAAATAATGTCCTGTTGTTATATTTATTGTACAAAAGGTCAGTTTGAACCAAGTTTAATAAAAATTGGAATCTAATAACATTTTATACCAGATTCCTCTTTAGCTTATACAATACAATAATAATATTTACAATATGATTGTATTGATAGACCACTTAAAGCGGACCTTTACTCATATCTTTAAAATAACAACAAACATACCTTTAGAAATGTTTAGTAATGACAATCTGCAAACACATACTTCTAGATAATTTCAGGCTTTGTATTCTTTACATACCTTATTTCTCTTTTCTTCCCCAGTCTTCTGACAGTGGCTATGTTTACTAAGGGCAGATTACTAGCTCTCAATTTACTTTCTTGATTTCTGGCACATGTGACTAGACATGTGACTAGGACATTTGGCCATGCACATCATCTCAGGGGAGGAAAATGCATTTCCCTGAAATCTCGTGAGGTTACAGATGAGATTTCCCATCAATGCTCTGCTGATGACAAGGTGCATTGCTTTGCCAAACTGAAGTCCTTTTGCCCTTTCGAAGCAGGAAGTGAATGTTCTGCAAGTGTAAGTATTGCAAAATCACAGCATTTTACACCTGACATGTCTATGTTATTATTATCCATCATACATAGAGGGATGCATTGGTAGAATTTGATTTTTGAGTGTAAAGGTCCGCTTTAAGTCCTGGTCATTTACTACATTGCAAGTCCCAATGCCAAGTTAAGTTGCCCAGTGTCAGTGGGATTGTGCACTGGTATTGCTGGTGACCAGTGAGAGCTGGGGTTTAGTGATTTCATCAACTTGGTGGCTTCTAGTCCTGCTGTGAAGCACTCTTTGTAAGTGCTTTGTATCACTATGTAACCACAATTTTTCACATTGTGTTTATATTCATGTATCCTGTGAAGTATTCTTTGGATATTCTAGAAGTCCCAGAAGCTATTTTTGAGCATGCCGTAGTTGATCGAGCCATACCCTGCCTCCCCCTGCAGAAATAGATCTCCGTAGTAATGAATTAGGTTTACTGAAATAAAGCTACTGGTTATAATAGTAAGCGATTTATTGATGCATGAGGAAGAGGATTAAATTAGGCCCCCTTTGGCCTGATCAACTACACCATGAAAAAAAAACTAGTATAGGTTTAAAATAATACATAAAATAAGTTACATATGTTTCTTTAAAAGAAGATTTCCTTTCCCTATTTATTGTCAGCTTCCAGTAAATATGATGGATACTCTGTATAACATCTGCAGCTATTGCATTAGTCACAAACACACAAGCATGTTTAGAATTTTTGTGTTTGCAAGCTTGTTAAAAGGGCGCCAGCCACTAATTCTTGCATGAACAAACCCGGCTGGATCTTATCTTACTGTTGCACTAGCAACCATTTCTTTTTGTCATTTTCCCTGCATGCCTCACAGTATAATATTAAAAAGACTCTATAAAAAATCTCTGCTAAATGATTTTTACTATTTCACTGCATTTTGCAAAAAATCATACTTATGAAACATTCTTTAAGGCAGAAGATATTGAAATATATGGTTAAGCAATAAAAGTACATAAAAGCTGAGTTGGGAAAATTGAAAGAAAGTTGAATGGCATCTGTGCTGAGAGACCCACTTGGTGGAGTTCAGTATTGCATTAGTACCAGAGTTCTGCCACTAATGCAGCTTAAGAAATGTCTGTGCCAAATTCAAAAACATGCTGTGCCATGTTTCGGACCGCTACTGTCTTCTGCACCAAATTCAAGCAGTTCTTATTTGCACCATATTTCATTCTGGCGCTGTGCTTGTGACATATTCAACAAACTCAGTTTGGTAATAAGAAAAGTGATGCAAAATAAGACAAAGTACTTTTTGGCATAACTAATCTGTATATTGTATATGTCTGATGTAGTTTGCGACACATACCTCAGGGCCGACATTCCTTGAAACTGAGGATCCAACAGAAACCTGTCTTAGGCACATTTGTGACACTTTGGATAGCAATGCCACATATCGATATACTTTATCATGTGCATATATCTGTCCCAAAGTTTGACTCTCAAGTCAGTTTCATAGGTTTGCACCAGATTCATGAATGTTATGACTTGTACATGAATCTGGCTCAAATAAGGAAATTTCCTGTAATCTAAACTATACCTGTAACTAGGGATGCACCAATACCGAGTATTTGGGTGAGTACTCATACTCGCCCAAATGTTCCGATACTTACCCCAAATACCAGAACGTCCGGTCAGAGAGATTGGCTTCCGGGCCAATCAGGAAGCTGGGCGGCTGGTAATGATTTACTGATTTACCAGGAAGCCGGCTCCATGCTGATTCCCCGGGAAGCCGGGCGGCTGGTAATGACTCGCCTCCCAGCTTTTTGATTGGCCGGGAAGCCGGCTCCATGCTGTTTGGTTGGCTTGATGCTGATTGGCTGGGAAGCCAGCTTCCCGACCAAACAGCATGGAGCTGGCTTCCCGAGTTTATTCTAACCTTTCCTTTATATCAGCTACATATATTCCAGGTGAATTATAACAAAAGGTATTCATTTTCTTTAGAAAGCAGCCACAGCCTGAGTATAAAATGCCTGTTCCCTGCCAGCAACTGCAGAGTGAGACCCTTGCTCTCTGTGTGGAAGCAGTGGGCTGTTTGCAAAGGCCTTACACATGCATTAGTGTGCCAGACCTATTGCATTTAATTGGCCTTTAACAGCAAATCAAACATTCTTTTATAACACTTTTTACAATATTATGCAGGGCAAAGCTACAGGTTGACTTAAATAGAAGACCCACTAGCACCATAAATTCAGTTTCCCTTCGCACCAGTCAGCCATTGGTAGAAAAGATAAATAGTTAATACCAGGTATGAGAGGGTCTGTTAGTCACTACACTGACATAATGAGAGGTGTGTGCATAAAGCCTACAAATCTATATCTTGGTCCAGTGAGAATGGAAGTGCTACAACACACGTGCTTTGACAGCTGCATTTGGGGTGCCATTCATAATGAATGCCACAACAGCGCTTCACTTTCAGAAAATATATGGTTTGGGGGGTCTTTTACAAACGCTAGCAACGCAGCAGTTGAAAATCAAACCAATAGGAAAAAATTGCAGAAAATTCAAAAAGGGCTTGGCCAGCTGATTTGAAAAATGTTCCGGAGGGCTTGGCAGCGAAAGGGTTAAAAACAAGTTCTGCTCGACATATACAGAATTTCCTATACTGAGCGCCATCTAGGGGCGCTAGTGCCATGCATACAGAATTATACTATATTATATAAGTTGCCATATATAATTTAGTAACTAACATTACAGCACTGTGTAACCTTTTTTTTTAGAAATACTGCCAACACCAAGTAACAAGGGACAGTCCACAAAAACATCATCAGCATCTTTGCAGGATGGTCTACGTAAGTTGTATTTTACATTCATTTGTATTATCGTGTGGGACTGATTTACTGATGTGGTACGCTCACTGTGTTCTAGATCCCCACAGAAGTATGCAGCTCACTGCTGGAGACCAAAGCAATCTCTGGAGTGTGAACAGGGAGGGGTTAAAATGTATGTGCAGGCAAATTTTCTTTGATTGACTGGGGAAGGATTCCGAGCTCTGTTAAAGTGATTTTCTCTCTTAGGCTCCATTCACATTTATGCATATGATGCTGCACGTGATCTCGCATTGAATGTTGCATTGTTAGGTGTGATGCTGTGGCATTATTTCTGAATGGCACCCCAATGCACATCGCTGTATAACCTATTACCATGCGATGTGTTGTGATGCAATATTTAAAAAAATGCATGCAATTTATTGCAATTTTGCTGCAGTAGGTAGCCCTTTCAAATGAACGGTCTGCCTACCACAACGCACCCTACAGCACCCCTGCAATATCAGATTGCAGAGTTGTGAACAAGAGCTCCTGTCTCAGTAACAATGGTTTCCCTAGACAAGAAGTGAGGGGACATCTCCAACAGTACCTCAGCAATAAAAATATCTTTAAGTAGGGAAAGGCTACTGATAGCTTTTTATTTCTGTCTGTGTACTTGTTGCAGGTTTTTCCCTGACCTATCCGCTGAAATGTTGTTTGGTACCATAACAGGAAGTGAGGGTAAACCTCTCTAATTGCTTCCTGGATAGCAGTGAAAACCCAGACAGGCATTCTAATCCTTCCTCACAATATCTGAAACTAAAAATAATATTTTGGCTGGACATACACATTAAATGCATGTTTTTGTTTGTAAATGTTCCGATTATTACTATTGTAATGAAATAAATGATGCTACTATTAAAGTGGACCTTTACACTCAAAAATCAAATTCTACCAATGCATCCCTCTATGTATAATGATTAATAATAACATAGACATGTCAGGTGTAAAATGCTGTGATTTTGAAATACTTACACTTGCAGAGCATTCACTTTCTGCTTTGAAAGGGCAAAATGACTTCAGTTTGCCAAAGCAATGCACACTGGGATTACCTTATCATCAGCAGAGCATTGCTGGGAAATCTCATCTGTAATCTCAGGAGATCTCATGGAAAGGGATTTTCTTCCACTGAGATGATATGCATGGTCACATGTCCTAGCCACATGTGTCAGAAATCCAGGAAGTAATAGGAGAGCTAGTACCCTGCCCTTAGTAAACATGGCCACTGTCAGAAGACTGGGGAAGAAAAGAGAAAAAAGTTATGCAAAGAACACAAAGCCGGCAATAATCTAGAAGTATGTGTTTGCAGATTGTCATTACTAAACATTTCTAAAGGTGTGTTTATTGTTGTTTTAAAGATATGGGTAAAGGTCTGCATCAATTTCAAAGAGAGAACAAAGAAACCGATGGATTTACTACCCACCCCACCCTTTCCCCCTTTTATTCCTCTCTCCTTCAAAATATTTTCGTTTCTATACTCTTTACTTGCGGTAGACAGCCATGTAGCATGTATAATCATTTTGTACTTTTTTTTTGCCCAACCTAACTATGTGAAAACCATATCTACTGAACCCTATGTGTACTGTCTACACTATTTACGGAAATTTAATAAAAACCTTTGTTACAAAAAAAAGAGAGAACAAAGAACCAGATAACAAAGAATTAGATTTTTTTTCTTTTTCGGGGGGTGGGGGGCTTAGGAGCCTACTAACAAAATGTGATCCTTTTCCATTTTCCAGTCTTTTGTTTGATATTCTGTGACTGCTTTTAACATATTAACTTTAATAAGCTTTATGCAAAAAATTATTAAACTGCTCTTCACTTTGATTTAATTAATTTGAATTGATTAGCCACACTAAGCTGCATCTCAGATTATCCAATTCGTATGGCCATACATATTTTGCTGTCATAAAACAACGCGCCTAGCGTTTACATTTTTCACTCATTTAACTAACAACCCACAAAAAAGTACCTGATTTTTAATGCCGCACAATGCATGGCATGTGCATTGTGGTGTGCTGCAACGTGTATGCATTGCCCGCTAATGTAACAGTGCATTAGGGTGCCATTCAAAAGGAGTAGCACTGCAATTCACCGTGCTGCATGCTTTACATGTGTTGAAATCTGAATGGGTCCTTAACATCCCTACAAATAACAGAGAACATTTGTATGATGTGGTGATTTGCTGTCGGATGGGGGAACATTTATATGTCTGTAGGCCATCCCCAACCTTATCAGAAATTCCCTGCCTAAGCTGCTCTGGGGTGACAGTCAACTGGCTGGGATGATTTTTTTCATGACTGATCTTTATAATTTGCCACCAAAAAGAGGCCATATTGGGGATGTCTCAAAAGTGCCCAAATCCTGCATGATCCACTGGCTAGATCAGAAATATCTGTTGGCACCTTTAATATGCATTATACTATAATGTTCTTTCTGCTCTGTAGATTAGACAGTTAAAAGGACCTAAACTAAGTTGTAAAATTGTATGTGTGCTCTGGGTAGGAAATTCTAGGGATTGTCATAGCAATGCACTTTTGTTAGGAAATGATCTGGCATCTAAAATGTTAGCACTGGTTCACAACACCAGTCATTCCTTCTGCAAGTCATTGCTAGTGTACAAAACACGCCTACACTCCTGCAAGCTTTTTTATACAGCATCAGTGTGCCTTCTATGACAAGGTCATAAAATCAAGGCTAAGATAAATTAGTAGGCTTAGAGAGAGTTTATAGCATACAGTACAATGCTTCACAAATGTTATATACTGTTCACATAATATAGGTGCTCACAAAAGGTAGTGTAGCGCTCACCCCCGAAGGAGCCGCTGAATGATTGGGTCTTCCATAGCCTGTCTAGGGATTATTAAAAACACATGGCTGCCCCAATAGCACTTACCACTTCCAGTGGTTACCGACAGATTGAAGTCCAGACAATAGCTCCAAGATGATTCTCTTTTATTGCTGTAACTCCAGGGAGAGAGGGAAGAGGGTCAGGCACATCCAGCATGAAGGTAAACTTCTTGTACATGAAACAGAACAAAGTAACTGCTGCCACCACAGACTTGGACCTTTAAGCCGTACCGGCAATCTGTGTGGAGAACTTCTGGCAAGCAGTACTGTCAAGGGTCTTGTTCAGGCTCAACTTCAGACATTAGTGGCTGACCACTGGGCCTCCAGGCTCAGGCCCCAGTGTCCAGGCCTAGGCCCCAGCTCAGGCCTAGTCCATTCTATCTCTTCAGCAGCAGGCATCCTGCCCCAGGCCAGGAGGGCCCTGGGGAGGGGAAGAGGAAGAGACTGTTGCATCAGCCACACTCAGCATTTATATCCTCTCCCAGCATGCATCACTGCTACTGTTCTGCAGTGATTGGCTGCTCTGCCCTGTGTGGTAACACACCCACCCACAGGCAGACACATTTTAGCACCCCTATAAGTAGGGTGCTACAGTAGAATGCATGCTAATTAGACAATTGTGCAGTTACTCCCCAATGTACACATAAAAACACACACAGAATCAAACAAGGAGGTGATCTAAAAGTGTATGCATAGCCAAAACCCTTTTTTTTTTTTAACTTTTGAATAGCATAAGGAATGCTCAATTTTTCTTGTTAAAGACCTTTTGGAGAGATTTCCTTTCTGTACCAGAGATGCAGTAGGAAGTGAGAGAAAATGTATATAAAATATTGGGGAATTTCAGTAAAACTTTGTTAAATTTTGAATTTCCCATCACTTTTCTTCATGGCGAAGATGATCAGCAGGACAAATAAACGGGTGCATTTCCTTAGCAGGGTTACAGACAGCAATAAAAACCTGACAGAGGTTCTAATCCTTCATTAATACGGAACACAGGTTTGGACTGAATTTTGCGTGTTTGCCCAAATGACAGACATTTGACGGGAGCATATATAATAGCAGTATTTCTACCGTTATTATATGTGACAACTTCCTGCTGTCAACGATTGCTAAGGAAGTGGAGGGTGCCTTACCTGCTGCATCCTTAGCAACGAGTGACGTCACCCGGCCCAATCCCAGTAATGTAAGCATAGCGGCAGGGATAGTGGTAACATCACTGCGCAAATATGGTCATGTGGCCTGGTATGGTTCAGGAGGAAAGGGGTGTGTACATTTCTTCAAAGTGGGGGCTGGGGGGGGGGGCATTTTGCCAAACCTGCCCCAAATTAAATCTATAAATACACTTTATGGTAACAGCAGCAGGAAACTCTTGGACAAATTGATTTTAGACAGATCAGTTTCTTTAAAAACTTAACCATGCAATGAAAGTTTACATTTAACATTAAAGTCCAACTCCAGCATTTATGTACCCACCATCTCTACCCTCCCCACCTCAGTGAAGCCCCTGCCACTATTTTATAATCTTTTTATACATACCTAAAACCCTGCAGTTCAAGCCGATTAGACATCACAGGTCCTGCCCATTCTTGCCCAGTGGTGGCAATGGGCAATCTTTACTCCTAGACAGCATGGCACTCATTAATGATGAATGAGTGTTCTCTCCAGAAGTAATGTAAACCAGGCCAGTGTGATTATGTTTCCCCAAGTGTTGTGTTCACGATAGCCTGGGCTCATGGGAAGTGGGCTGGATGAAGCTAGGGATTATTCAACCCAGAAGAGGACTGTAAATCAATTACAGACTGGTGAGCCTGGGAGGGCAGCGCTGGAGGGGAGGGGATTTGTGCAGTAAAAGCTGCTTTTTTATTTTTTACAGTGCTGGACAACTTATTTTAAAGACCTTATGAAAAGTGAAGTTGGGGGTTTAAGATGAACTGCTTCCACTACTGAGAAGTTGCAAACTGTTTTAGAGCTGTGTACATTTTGTAACCATTTATGTTTTTTTTAAGAGAACCATAACTCTTTTTTGTATTCATTTTAGGGGATGGCAGTATCAGATTGGTCAGCGGAGCTGATTCCTGTCAAGGAAGAGTGGAAGTCTTTTATAAGGGAAATTGGGGAACAGTGTGTGATGATGACTGGGGAATGAAGGATGCAATGGTTGTGTGTAAGCAGATTAACTGTGGCCAAGCCCTGGACTACAAAAGCAATGCTTATTTTGGATATGGAACTGGTTTAATATTACTGGATAATGTGAACTGTGATGGCTCAGAGTCCTACCTATCAGCTTGCTATAGTCTTGGCTGGGGTATCCACAACTGTGGCCACCATGAAGATGCTGGAATCATCTGTGCAGGTAAACTACTGCTCACATGTTAGTGATTCGAATATGCTATTTCAGGAAGCAACCATGATGTGCTGCAATTAGTTCACAATGTCAACCTAATTTCATTCCCTCTCCATCATGTATACATTGATCTAACTGGTACTGAAGAATCACATTGAAAAGTAAGATAGAGACATCACACTTCACCAGAGGGCATTTCTTCCAACAGTGAAGTGATTAAGATTGTGTGGTCTCTCAACTGGAAGTTGTTTGTCTGATGTAATACACAAGTGCACTAAGATAATTAGCTTTTATCGGAAGTGGATATCCCCCATCCTCATAAAGCTTATAGAAGGTTGACTTTGTACAAAAGAATTCTTGTTTTAATATTTAATGATATTATGCTTAGTTATTTCAGTGAGTAACAACAGTGAATCATGAGTGTTGCTAAAAGGCACTTAGATGTTTACCAAAGAACCTTTGCCATATAAAGTTGCCTCTGTCCATGTCAGTGTGTCTTAAAAAAGTAGAACTGTCATTAGAATTTACGCTATGTGAACTAGTAGTGGACACATGTGAGCATAATGTACCTGCAGATAGCTTTAGTAGTCAACCAAACATTTTCTGTGCCCATTTTCTGTGCCTCCAAATGCTGGCACACTGGCATAAGTTTGGATTCAGGAGTTGGTGCTCTGGTGCAATTCACTCTGAACGCTTTCTAATGCAGCAGCCAATAGAGAATATACATTTGGCTGTTAGATGGTGTGTGGGGGGAGGCTACCACTTGGCGGCTATATTAGCTTTGCATCATAGCTGCTGTGCCATGTTCACGTTCATTAAAACGGAGACATCCTTTAACTATTGCATTGCAACATATATCAACACACAGCATGTACTATTTTATTGTTATCCAGGGCATGGAATTTCAACAACGTCCCCAAACTTCACGCCTATAGCTCAAGATACTGCAGAGTCAATTACTGACACAGCAACAGGTAAAAGATAAGCCTCTTCTTACTTGTTACCCCAATATTATAATGAACTGCTGACAGTTTATCATTTGTGTTTTTTTATTTATAGTTACATGGGGTGAAGGTCAACCTTCTCCTGAGACAGATTTGTTTACTACTGCATTTTTCCATCCTGGAAGAAAGAGTAAGTTGCTTCCAATAAAAAGTAACTTCTACCATCTGTTCCATTTATTCTTTGACAAATATGATTTCATATACCAGGACTGTAATCAACGTTGTCTTGCTCTAGCACTGATCTTGTGTCAATATAAGATCAATATTGGAAAAGCCAACATATTGATCTTTGCAAGTAGAAAGCCTCATATGATGGCTGTTTCCCTTAATGTGTTAAGCTCTACCGTAAACATTTTTTTTTCTATTATTTGGGTGTTGTGAAACCCCATGAATTTTATCTACTGTCTGTTACCCTCTTAATGAGATGTTATTCCCCAGGTCTCATTGCTATTGATTCTTCATATATTCCTATAAATAATCTAGTAGGGGAGTAGTTACACCAATATTATGGCGTCACTGCCCCCCTTGTGGATATATAGATATGAATGGAAAATGCCCTCTACTCTACATGTCCTCTACAGAGTGAAGCTTATAGCCAAGGCTTGCCTATATTGACAGGACTGTGGATCGCTACTGATCACCATGCTTGGGCCAGAGACGGCAATACAAATCTAGCAGGTCAAACTTTTCCACATTTTATTCAAAAAAGAAAAGTTCTGGGTAGAATTCTACTTTGGCCTATGAAAGTTGAATTCCAAACTGGAAATTGTACAGCTCAGATGCATAGACTGTATGTTTATCGATTTAGCTACCAAATAATTTTTCATTTGTGAATGTTGGTCTGCTACTTCCTGGTTTAACATCACTGCTTACTGGATTAGTTCACTGCTCAAGACAACAACTTGATGCTGATTTACCCTCCAGTGAACAGGTTCGGAGGCAGAAAGGTAACATAGGAAGATGTTTTGGTGAACTAGAAAATAATTGCCTGACTGTGCAGTGAGGCCCATGTGTGGTCTTCCAGGATTATAAATCCTTTGGTCTTAGAGGACAAGTAGCCCCCTTTCAAGTAGTTGCATAGTAATGTAAGCTAATAAAAACACAAGCGCAACCATAACATACTAAGTAATTGTAGGATATTTTAGGATAAAAAAGATTATTGGGGCTGCCACTGATCTGATTTTTAAAAATGCTAGTTCCTTGACTGCCATGATGACGACCTGGCTTCAATACGAGTCACCGATCTAAAGCAAGTATGCATATCAGGGGTTCTGACTTCCATTGCTGCTGCATGGCTCATTGACTTCATTAATACTGTACTTGTACTGAAGCAGAGACAGCAAGGTAAATAAATAGCATTTTCAGGAAGAGGTCAGCAATGGTAGCCTTCATGCTTCTTTCACAGACAGGTTTTCTTTAATGTTCAGAAGTAGACATGGCCACTGCATGAAAACTTGCCTTCTTCGAGAGAATGATCTCTTTAACAAAGCAACCAGAAGAAGGCTGTATGACTTTTCTATTCCCCCTATGTTTTTTTCTACAATGTTATGAAATTGTCTATTGGCTAATATAGTAACTGTTATAAAAGCATTAATTCATGAAGCAAGAAAATACAATAAAGTAATCATTAAATACATTGGCGTTTTGTATGTGTGTGATAACAAGGAAAAAAAGCATAAAATATAATATTACGCAGAAGAATATTATAAATATTTTTTTTTGCATGCACATGTCAATATGTAATATGTAATTTACCTGTACCGGTTGTGTTAATATTTTTCCACCAGGTGGCAGTATAAGACTGGTAAATGGAAATAGCAGTTGCCAAGGAAGAGTGGAAGTTTTGTACCAGAACACTTGGGGAACTGTATGTGATGATGACTGGGACTACAACAATGCACAGGTGGTTTGCAAGCAGATGGGCTGCGGTCCAGCCATTGTAGCTACAACCCTTAGTTATTTTGGCTACGGCAGTGGACCTATACTCCTAGACAACGTAGACTGTGTTGGAACAGAGAAAGATATAGTGAATTGCTTTCACTTAGGCTGGGGCCAGCATAATTGTGGACATCATGAAGATGCTGGGGTTATATGTCAAGGTAAATATAAATTTGTAGAATACAAACAAGAATATTTTGCTTATCTGGTAAATAGAGAAACGTAGTTTTACACAGAAATATAATGAGATATATTGTACAATGTGAAGAACTAAAAATTGCAGAGTGAATTGCAATTTTAGCAAAGCTTTAAAGATAGACTGACACCTTGATGCAGGTTGACAGTGTATTGTATTTGCAAAGAGATCTCCCATCCAACCCACTTATACTCACCTGGCACTAAAACTCCTACAGGGTTATTCACAAAATAGTGAAGAGTTTGGAGAAGGCAGGAGAAGTGAACAATCTAGGACAACATAGCGGAACTGCAAACATTCTCCAATTCAGCTTACTTTCCAGTTGAGTTATGTTGTCCTAGATTGTTCACTTCTCCTGCCTTCTCCAAACTCTTCACCCTTTTGTGAGTAACCCTGCTAGTGTCAACCTGGTTTGGAAACTAGGGAGAGCACTGACATCACTCCCCCGTCATGTGACAGTGCCTAGGCCTAGTGATTGGCTGCTACATCCAAACACTTTCACAGGAGAGTAAACATTCCATTTGCAACCCAGGAAGGAGCAGCGGGGGAGCACTTAAGTGTAAAGTGGGTTGGGGAAGGAGTCCTTTGCAAATACACTGCCAATTTGCTATCCATGGGTAAGGTGGCACTGTCTCTTTAAGTGTTAATTTAAACTGTTCTTCCCATCATAAAAGCCTGGGGGGAGCAACAGACTTCAGAACATACTGTGTGTATGGAATGCATTCATATTCTGAACACTCAGAATGCCTTTATTCCCCTAAAAAATAGCCTCCTCTTCTACCTCTCTTCTCTGCTCCCCACCCCCACCCCAATCCACTGACATTAACTTATTTAATTGGTAGAGGGACAGTGCTTATCCCATAGTTGGTTGCAGTGCTTATCCCATAGTTGGTTGCATCATGTTGGTACAAACATTTGCCCTCTTAAAGAATAAGTAAATCCCAATAATAATCAAAGCATGAGTCCAGCACTACTAAATATGCTAAATACAAAAAGTGTTTCACCATATTACATTAAATTTACCACATGTGCTAAATGTGACATCTATAAATATATAAATCAATCACAATTTTGTAAGGCTGGATTCACACCAGCAGCAACGCTACAACGCAATAGTGTGAACTTTGCTAAACCGCAACCAGGCAAATTGCCTTGTTTTGCGTTGGGGCTTTCTGTAGTAAATACAGGTAGGTGCTTGCAGTGAACGCGATTGGCGCCGGGATAAATGCACAAATTCAAAAGATGTCACCAGCACACCTTGCTAATTGAGTTTAGCAAGTGTTCAGTTGCAAGTACTTTCGGGGTCCTCTCAGGGTCCCCTTCATCAGGCTCAGAATGACATTGGGGGGAAAAAACGTGGGGTCCCCCCTAAAATTCCCAACCAAACCCTTAATACAAGCACAGGCCTGGCAGGGCAGGAAAGGGGGCCCCCTCCCTGCACCATACCAGACTACATGCCCTGGGAATTGGGAGGGTGCTATTCCAGGCCCCCCCCCAGGGAAAAGCACCCTCCCAATGCCATGCAGATGGGGACAAGGGCCTCTTCCCCACAAGTCCTGAACCGTTGGTTGTGGGGGTCTGTGGGCAGGGAGCTTATTTGCATCGGGATACCCCGTTGTGAATGAGTAAAAGGGTTAAAAGTAAATAAACAGACAAGAAAAAAATATTTAATTGACAAAAAAAAGGTTTTTGACAATTCCTTTAATAAAAAAATAAACACCAAAAATTAAAAAAAAGAATTCACTGCCGACCTGTCCGCACGCGACGAACTTCCACCACAAAATGACAGACTGACAGATTCCAGCAAAATATAAACAATTGGGCGGAGCAAACGGTGACATCACCGCTAGCTCCGCCCAACTGTTTACATTTGTCTAGCACCTATCAAACTCTTCCCGCAGGTCCCGGCCAAATCAGAACAAATGGGCGGAGTCGGCCGCAACTTCATGGCTGGCTCTACCCATTTGTTGTCATTCAATGACAGTCCAGAAAAAAATATATAATATATATTTATAGTTGTGGGTTTTTTTTACATTTAACTGATCATTTTTACATGCATGAAACTAAAGATTCTAGTTTCCTTTTTAAATCTGAACACAGTTACAGCCTTGTTTATAAAGGGCGTGAACACTATTGCAAGGGCGTGCACACCTATACAAACAATTCACTGGAAATGCACTCTAAATAAAAACTACCAATTTATTTTCACTTCAGCATTTCTAGTTAGAAGATTTTATTTTAAAAAGCTGACATAACATGCTTTGATTTCAGCCTAAACTAAAACGAAATAAAAAATGACATGCTTTTATTGTAATTTTTTAAAATAATATCTCCAGCATTTTTCAGATACAATAATGACAGAAAAAGAGCAGTTCAGAAATATCACATCCACATAATACAATATGAAAAAAGGTAACCTAGTTTTTTTTCCATTTTCCAATTAATATTAGTTGTTTATATATGTATCTTATAGGTTTAAAGGAAGCTGAACTGTTTTCCAAGGGGAGCAGCTTTGAAGTGACAACTGAATCTGTAACACCCTCTAAAGATGGTATGTGTTTTCCATATCTTGTATTCAGTAGTACAGACATACTAAAGTTATTGATCCACTTCTCCAAAAACCGAATGCTTCTAACTGAACTTAGAGCAAAATTACAGTTATAATATGATGTACAGGATCTGCTATTAAAGTGTTTATAAAACTGCTATTTCCATTTTTGGTAGATACTGGAGAGTTAAATCGCATGACAACAGCCATTGTGGCTGTTATAATTGAGTCCCGCTCATGCTGATGAAAATTATTAATTTTTTATTATGGAGAATGCACCAGGAGGAACTGGAGCATGTAAAAGTGGACGGGGAAGCTCAAAACTTCCAGGCAGACAGGAGCAGGACAGGACAGGAGTCCAACATTATGGTAGGGCAATCTTCCTTCAGTATTCATTAAGAAAGTAGCCATACACCGGGATCCCAGTATCTCAATCCAACTTTATTGTACCAGAAAGAACATTGACCCCACCAGGATCCTCACTCTCTGATAGGTTTTGCCAACCAATGGGCTTAATCATGGAGAAGGTGATGTTCTTTATAAATACTGATACGAGTGAGGAGTGTGTGCGAACTCCGGTGCAGCAGGTGAATGCCAGGCTTAACTTTAAGCAGTTCTCTGTGCTGGACTTGAAGCCTGCAGTATTACACAAAGAGACATAGGTAGGCAGGCTCCACCTATGCTGTAAATTTCACAGAGTTATTCACTAAAGGGTGAAGAGTTTGGAGAAGGCAGGAGAAGTGATCAATCAAGGACAATATATCTGATGTGGAAAAATCCTCCAATTCAACTCACTTTCCAGTTCAGCTATGTTGTCCTATATTGTTCACTCCTCAAACTCTTCACCCTTTTGTGAATAACCCTGTCAGTTTTTGGTGGGTATGTTTTACCTTACTTTCAAAGTGAAAACCTAGGCCCTTCCACTACTTCACAACATCTTTTCAAAAGATATTGTACACTGTATGCAGATTCAGATTATGCATGTACTGTTAGAACCTCATGGTCCATGATAATCAAAAACCTTTAGCCTCGATTCAAACCTGTGCATTCCGTTGTGTTAACGGAATGCAGACGTCAAAAATCTTAACATATTGACCCTGTAGGGATACAGCAGAGCTCCTCCTGCAGTGTTGTTGAGTAGCTAATATGTAGATAGGTGAGTAAAGCTACAACAGTCTCTCACCACTTGAGGACCTTAGCCATAAAAGATATGACCTAAAAAACTCATACTAAACTTATACTATGACCTGCTTCTCTCCTCCCATGCTGCTCCCCCGCCATTATTATTGTAATTACCTGCTGTCAAAACCACAGCTGGCAATTGCCTATGTATTACATAGCAAGAGTGGATGTCAAAAAGCAGCCACACCTGTTTAAATGGCCTTTGATCTGCTTATGACATTGGTTAAAGAAACCTTACGTAAACTGTTTTTTTTGTTTCTTATTTTTACCATTAATATTTAAACTTTTTTCCTTTTTTTGTTTTTGTTATTTTTTTCAGTGTCACTTTAAAAATAAAATTAGCAAAATTTAAAAAAAAATTTTTTTCATTTGTAAACAACTTTGCCACTCTATGTACCACAAATATGACTATATTAATTTTGAAAGAGGCAACTGATAGAATAAAATGTATACTTTTTATTTACAGAAATACTAATACTTGTCACCAATTTTTTTTAATGTTTTCTTTTTTAACATTTAATGTTTTTTTGTCTATAGATTACATAGAAAATAAAATAATTTTTCAAGATAATATTGTAGTGACCCTATTGGGAAGGTTCATTCTCTTATTTTATCCTTGTGCTCATTATCACCAGAACAGAAAGTGACAAAAATCTATCATTTTAGGGTTTTCATGGGAAGAGTGTATATCTTTTAATGGGGACAGCTTTTCCAGTGTCAACTGTCAAAAGTAAGATTTTTCCCTTTGGAGAGATTTCCACTCTCTCATCCTACTGTCTTCAAAAATCTGGCAGAGGTTCTAATCCTTCACCACTCTGTTTAAAATTAGAAAAAGGTATGGGCTAGAATTCTGCTTTTACAAAATTTAGGTTAAATAGCCCAGCAAATCACATACAAAATAATTAGGATCTTCCTCTCCATATGTCTGGTTTTACATCAACTTCCTTCCTGCAATCTGCATATAAATGTTCCCCAGGCAGATTTTACATACTCTGTGTACATTTATATACTGTACATCACCCTTTTTGCAAGCTACCAGCCGGCAGTTTATGCAGCTGCTGGCTCTCATTCCCAGATGTCACTTACAGCCCGGGTCTCCACTGACACTTGAGAACCAATTAAAGTGACTCTCGATCATGTGATCAGTGACGTCATGGACGGCTTTATCCTCTTGTTGTCATTCAGTGACAGTCCACTGTCCTTAAATGACCTGGGTAGAGTGGCCTGTCATTGAATGACAACAAATGGGCGGCGTTCGGCTCCCTTCACTTCAGCTCGGTTAAAGTGACTCTCGATCATGTGAACACTATGTCAGCTATGACATAGTGATCACATGCAGGGTGGAAACTTCACCGCAAAATGAAAGCCTTTATGCAGATGAACACTGCCATCTTCATGCTGGAGTGGCATCTACAGTGCCATCTGTTAAATCATTTAATTGCCCAGTATTATTTATATATTCTTTTACATTTTTGCACATTTAACAGCCTATATATATTTTTTTCTTTTAAATCTCTTTATTCAATTTTTAACAATTATACAAACAAACAAAGTACAAACCACATTCAACATACTCCAAGTGGTACAATACGTTAAATATAAAAATATATATAAGCAGCATAATTCTATTATTCTGATTATTTAATAACCACTCTACATTCATCCCAGGCCTGGCCTGCCCCCCCCTTATTTCCTTCCTTCATTTTCCATCTGCACTGCCAAAAATAATCTAAGTGGCATACATACATTAGCAGTGGAACCGTTAGCCATAGCTATCAGGCAAGCACCCGATATAATAGGTTTTCGAAGAGGTGAAAAGGAAGAAAAAATCGCCCTCTATGCAGATGATGCTTTGATTTTTTGGGGGGATACAGATAATTCCTTAAAGTCATTGATGTCATTAGTACAACAGTTTGGCTCTTTTTCGGGTTTTGATATTAACTGGGGCAAGTCAGCATTATTATCTTTAGACCCTATTTGCTGGCCTCTGGCTGGCCTCTGTGCATCTCAAATTAAAATAGTAGACTAATTTAAATACCTTGGTGTTATGGTGTCAGCTAATATAGCAGAATATCTCGTTCTTAATTTAAAACCCTATATTTTTTTAAAAAACAGAGTTTTTTTTAATTAAAACGGTGTACTAAATTAAGCTATAAATGTCCTTGAAAAAAAAAAAAATAGGTATGCAAATTCGTCATTGGGGTTTATTTATAAAGCAGTAAAAGTGAAATTCACCAATCATTCACTGCATGTGAATCTTTCTGGTACATGTATTTTAAATTGCAGTGATTAATTCATATGAAGTGAATGTTTTTTGAATAACACATTCACTTCTTTATAAACATGCCTGATAGATTTATTGTCAAGTCAATCAGTAGAAGGCGATGATGCTAAATTTGGCCTGGGCATCTAGGCCTCAATGACCTCTGAAATAGAAGTAAATAAATATATAGCCATTTATATGTAATAAATTAAAATTCATTTAAAAATGGAAAGATGTATAACATACTCAAATATGTTTATAAAGAAACACTTTTATTTTGCCAGGATCTATCCGTTTAGTGAATGGAAGCCACCGATGTGAAGGTCGCGTGGAAATCTTTTTCCTTTTGCAGTGGGGAACTGTTTGTGATGATGCATGGGACATGAAGGCTGCAAAAGTGGTGTGTCGATCCTTGGGCTGTGGAGCACCTTTTAAAGCCTGGGGAGAGGCGTGGTATGGACAGGGAATTGGTTTTATCTTCCTTGACAATGTTAAATGTCATGGCAATGAAAGTTCCTTACTACAGTGCTCCTACATCCGATGGAATGTCCACAACTGTGATCACTCGGAGGATGCTGGGGTAAAATGTGGACTTGACTGAACAATACATTATTATATAAATGCTAAACAAATGTAAATGTATACATTCTGTAAATATTGTTGTACCTTTGTAAGTTTGCACTTTATTATCCCATTTAAATCAAGCAGACATAGACATACAATTTGTTGAACTGTAACCTTATACGACAGAGGTTCAAAAAGTGTTGAAGCGGTGTTAACAGACCGCTGATTGTGCCTACCATGGTTAGTGGGACTCACCATGCAGTTCAGAGGTCCACTAGCTATTGCCCCACTGCTAATGATAACTTAAAGAAAACCTGTGTGTTACCTTATATTATTAGATTTGGCAAAGCTAGGTGCCTGCTTGCATGCTGCAATCCTCGTTCTAGTGCATAGTTTATCCCCATGACCTAGGCACGCTATTATGACAGTATTTTCCATTGATGATATTTGGCTTGATTTCCATAATCCCCCTCATTGACCACCTATTGCCTGGTAATTCCAATCTCTTATTGCCTGGTAAATCTGATGGGTGGACTAGACATCAGAAAGGAACTAGGTTCAGCAGGATGTATGCCAAATGTCAGCCAGCAGAGTTGTGGTGAATATTTCCATAATAGTGTGCCTGTTTTTTTAGGATACTAAGACATTATGAAGATAATCAGAGAATAGGAGCAGTTGCCTGCTCTAAAGACCTGGGGCCACCTCATGTGGTGTGATATAGTGTGATGAGTCCACAGATTTACTTTAGGCTTTTGCTGGCTATAGGCAAATATGCAGCTGGAATCAATTACTTACAATCTGCAGATTTCTGACTTTAGTTTGCAAGATTTTATTGGGTGAAAAAAATTAAGTATGGTAAAGGATGTTGTATTCTTCCTCTAATGGTTTAGGCTGACCTGAAAATAACATTTGTGTGTTCCCCTAGTATACTAAAGGTCTAATGATTGTTTAGGCAGGGGAATAAACAGTAATGGAGACTTACCTTATATCTTGCTCCCCAGGCAGCCAGCATTCTTCTCTGTTCCCTTGCCATTAAAACATCAGCCAGGGGGCACCCCATGATCGGAGAGGAAGAGTGACTTTGTGAGACCAGTCATGAATAACGGAACTGGTGGGGGAGAAAACTCCCCGAGAACAAGGAATAAGCTAAGTGTTCCTCTCTGTTATTTCCCCCTAGACCAAATGAGCATATTAGCCCTTTACTATATGGGGGCACTCACAAGTTTTTCCTTTAAAGCAGAACTACATCTTCCTATACTTCACAGCAAAGGGAGGTCCCATCTTAGCCGTTATTTGGATTGCAGTTGCCATGGCTGAAAAAAGCACACTGGCAACCTTGGCATGCCCTAAAAGTAATTGTTTTGGGGGACATTAAATTGGTGGGTAAAGTTCCACTTTAAGCTGAGTCCAGCTTTAAGCATCAATGTAATGGAGGAAGTTGCAAACTGTTTGCCAAATAAGAACAAAGTAGCCTGATTTGCAATAGGTCTGAATCTAATTTCCTAATGTTGTCATTAAGTTGCTTGATAAATGTTGCTTATTTTAATCACCCCATACATACCTTACAACAAGCATAACATATAACAAGGTTAGTAGGTGTCTTCTTATCTGTAGGATCAAGCATTAAGCATTCTGGAATGTCTAGCCTTCATAGTTTAACAATAACTACCTATTGATATCTTGAACTGTTGTGAGTTAAGATATTAAGATATAATTTAAAATAAACTGTATATCGTTCAAAATAAGCTTCTATTGCTAAAATTCCTTTCAGGTAAGAGATCATGACTGTTTTGGTGAAAAGGGGGCAGTGGTATGTATTTCATTATATATCTTGTTTTTACAGGTCACCTTTCCAAGTTAGATAGGCACTCAAAATATTTTTATATGATTATTGTAAATGAAATTATATTGAAATGATCTTTTTTGAAATCTTTGTGATTTACTAGTTGGTGCTGTGAATAATGTCATTGATATACTGTATACTGTACATTTGTAATTAATTTGTTTCCTGTTTTTGTTTATAAGGTCATTATCAGGTTCAAACAATTTCCTACATAAACAAATCTGCTTATGTGACAATGCATATGTAGAAGTCTTAAATCAGGCGATTCTAGGGGCCATTTACAGTAGAATAATTAAAATCTCTGTTACTTTTGATAATTCTAAAGGAATTGGAGGATATGTCCATCTTTCTATATACTACTAAAGATACTAAAATCTTTTAAATGTATTCTTAAAGCACAATAGGCAAGATAAAAAATCCTCAACGCACTTATCTACCCTGTACTAGACATCTTCTTGTGCCCATACATCCCTGGGTAATGTATGGGCTCAGCTCTGTCATGTGGGAGCAGGCTGGGTATTAAGGAAAAAAAATGATTAATCGTTGCAGTGGGGCTACCCCCCACACTGCAAGGGGGTTAGCTCTTGGTTTCTGTCTAGGTGCCATAAAAAAGTTATACTCCCCTGAACTGCAGTGCCAACTCCCTGCTTCTCCGATATCTGAAGCGTGTCTTCTCCTCCGCTGCACAGATGGAAACCTCCTCAGTGTTCTTACGTCAATACTCTTGTACAGAATGTGATGACACAAGGATTCTCAGACCACTGCAGAGGAGGAGAGAGGCTGGAAGGACCAGTGTAAGAATAATCTGGCCCGAATAATCGGATGAGTATAACTTTTTTATTTTGGCAACCCAGACACAAACGAGCAGTTATTCCTTGCAGTGTGGGGGTAACCCCACACTGCATGTTTCCCCAGAAATTGAAAGCAGTATTATTGACAATTTCCTGTGACTTTGAGGGAGTGGTACAAATAGTAAGTATAGGTATCAAAAGGTCCCTAGCACAGAGGGAGAGGGGTTGTGTATTTCTTAGTTCTTTATTGGGTTTATCAAGCTTTTTTCTACCTTCATTGCAGTGGGGTATCATCCAGCTTGTTTTTTATACTTGTTAACATTGAACATATTGTAATTCTGTGTTATCCTACTACTAAGTCTACAAATAAAAAATGTCTGTGAACGCCTACCACCATTTGCACTCCTCTGCTAACACGAAAGCTTAATACATTTTCCTGATCCTATTGAAAATATTTATTTAAGAATGTATTTAAAAATTGGCAGTGCACTTCTATAGGCTAAATGTATATGCATGTTCATACAGCTCTACTGACCTCTAAGTGCAGACAGTGCAGCTGGAGTGAACCCTGTCAGTAGCATGCCCATTTGTACACAAAACTTGTCTTTGTTGCTAAAGACTATTTAGCAACAAAGCTGATGGGGAAGTCAGCTAGTCACTGAGTTCTAACACCCAGGCCCCTGGACACCTGCCAGGCCCTAGGCAAATGCCAAGGTTGTTTTGTGTGTGATCAAGCCATGGCTGAGATTAGCAGTCAGAGGCAGCAGTGCCTTCGATCTTACACTGGAGGAATACAGCTATGAAACTGTAGGTACAAGAATGCCTAGGCACTCTTACATATACCAAAAAGTTCACTGCTATTTCTCAGAATTCCAGATAAAGGGTACCTTTTCATGGTACTGCTTGGGCACAGTTAACATTTTTTGGATGTTCCATATAACATAGCAAATGTTCACTATTCAGATTTAGGTCTAAATTTCAAGTGAAAATCCTGAACAAGAGCAGACACCCCAAAATGCCTGCTATTACTATTATTATAAAAGCCTTTTCTGTTCTAGTTTATATTCACTTTGTTGCTGGGAACTGACTTTCTCTGACTTCATGGTTAAGTCCTGCCATCTGCCATATAACTGCTTCAATGGCCAGTAAGCGCAAAGTGGAACTTAGAGAGATGCACTGAAGAAGCTTGTCGTGCTAATAAAGATTATGGCAGATATTGTAACTTGTGATGTCTGCTTTCAGACAGAAACTTTTGTTTTGATAATTCAGTACAGGATACTTTTAATGTACAATGTCTATATGGAAGCAGATAATTCTTAGTGCCTGATTTGTAGCAACCTCAAAAATGTATTTTTTCCATTTGCATGTCCATTGTGCTACCTATAACATTTCCACCTGGTAACCCTGCAAATAACAGATTCCCTGTCCTACGGTGATAATATTTTTGCTCTGTATCTATGGAAGAGCAGGAGTGATATTCTACAACAGTTAAATTAGTTAAGCCTACAATACGTGGAGGTGCTATGTAGTTCACAAAGGTCAACGAGTCAGGTTTGATAAAACTGCTGAATGCTCTCAATTTCTGACAAGATCAACAAGTATTTTTTTGCACTTTTTCTAGATATAACAAATCGCTTCCAATGGTATATTTAAAAGACCAAAAGGGAGCAGATAAGAGAAGTACATTGTAAGGGTTTGTATAGGCTTTAACGTAAAATGCAATTGTGTTAAATTACCATGATGAATATGATTTCTATTGGTAACATTAACAACTAAAGTCTTTGAAATATCTGAATAATTGAGCACATTTATTTATTTGATTTTTAAAGAGAGGGAAAAATACACAATTTGAAACAAATTGATGTAAAAGGCACCATGTAATGTGACTTTGTAGCAGAATACTTAACCTCCTACAGCCACTCATTTATGTCTCTATTCATGTTACTTTTGTTACACCTCCTCAAATTCATAATATACCTTTCAGAACAATTTACATCTAATACAAGTACTTAATGGGACAAAAAGTAAAATGTCGTATGAACACTGACATTATTTTCCTTGAATACTTCACTGTGAAAATTACAAAACAGTACATATCAAACACAATGATATAATAGTATTCTCTCCATCTGAGAAACGTATTATACACAGTCTCTGACATTCACAACGCAAATTCAAAGACAGTTTTTCAATACTCTTTTTTGCTCAAAGTGTGATGAGCCGTAAAAAAAACACGTATTCACATTCCAAGAAGTTATTAACTACATTCACAAATATATGTAGAAGGGGCCATACCAATGCAGAGCTGGAGTGCAAGTAAGGCTGGGTTCACACTTGGGCTTCGTAATATGCATGCTTGACACGCGTTTCGGGCCATCAACGAAACGCGTGACAAATGCACGTTTACTAGGGCTATCCAGCTGTATCCTAATGGATACGCGCAGAAAATACGCGCCAAAGAAGCTCCTGCACTTCTTTGGGCGTAGGGCATTTTTCAGCGCGTTCCAGTGATATTGCATGAGCTCAGGCTGACAGCAGGAGCCGCTTGCAGATAATTAGCTGTAATTAAAGTTTTTGTTTTAATGATAAAGATGCATGACTTGGTGGTGGAGGGGGGCCACCAGAAAG